TCGCGTCTCAAACCCTGCGAAACAAAAACCAGAACAGCGACCGCGGCGCCAGGTGAAACTAGTTCACGCTGCCATCAATTTGCTCCCATAAGCAAACTAGAATCGCTAATTTAAATTGTGAAGCAATCTACTAGGAAGCCCACCATCATCGTCAAAGCCGAGGGCTAATGAAACACCCCTTCCATGGTCGCTTAACCAAGAAGGGCGATAGACTCGTCGGCCAAATCGCCAAGCGTCGTCAATCTGCTCCCATAATCTTCAAAGTTTGCTTCAAGTTTGATTGGTTTATTAGATAAACCAAAACTAAATAATTACCTTCTTCATCAAACATGCAATCACACGTGCCAAGAGTTAGGAAGGAAAGTTGTGAGCACATGTGGCCAGACATTAGTCACATTAGCTGGGTTTTAACGGTGTTAGTTTTGGAGGACCAAAAATTAAGGTTTCCTTAAGGAGGAGGGCTAAAAACAAATTTGCTTGATAGTTTAGGGACTAAAAACATATTTAACCCTTAACAGAATCCAGGAAGAATGGAAGACATGGGAGGAGGATTTGCCACCACCCAGGCCTCCAGACCTGAAGTTGCAAGTAGTAGCCAGCGGGTTCCCTTCCTATGCTAAGACCATATCACAATGCTATGGGCTCAAGCTTCATTGTTCCAACCTTGAGAACAAGGTTGTTTTGCAGCAGGGTGTAATGATAGGATATAAGGCAGGGGGACGTGGACCAAACGGTTAAGGGAATGGGAGATGAAGAATCGAACAGTATGTTGAGTAGTTAGAAGGGGTTGCCTCTATAAGAAGGCTAGGGGGGTCTTGTAGAAAGTTAGTTAGTGATATTCTTTTGTATAAACATGTCTTGGACCTTCTAAGGGGGATTAGGCCTCCGTTAGTGCTATCTGTGTACATTGTTTTCATATCAATAAAAAAATCATTCTTTTTATTGTTGAGTTCTTGATTGTGTGTGTGAGTGATTGTCTGAGTTAGGTTCCATACCCAGGAACCTAACAGAAAGAGACTGTGGAAAGGAGACAAATTTGGAACTCCAAATCACTTCCAACGAATTTGCAGGCTAAGTATAGTATTAATATCACAAATCAGCAAGCAGTGTATCCAGCTTTATGGTTAGGGTTTAAGGTAAGTGTCTAGCCTCTTTTTGTAACCTATATACACACACACACATCAATAAAAGGTACAACAGTGTAGGTTGAACACACTGTTTTCTCCATATTATTTATTCAAGTGAAGGAATGAGGATAATTGGCATTCTCGTATATGTACTCTGGCATCAAAACACGGCAAGCTATTTACCATATCATATGCCTCTAGGCTCATCCTTTGAGTCTGGGTGATATCAGAGTTTATCATAATAACTAGGAAAAAAAGCTAAAGAAAAAGATATACAGAACAAATAGTTGTATTGTATGAAGTGTAAGATAATATCTATGACCTTCACAGAATCTTCTATTTTCTATTTCCAAAATATTAGGAGAGCTATACTTATTGCAAGCAAGTTACAAATAATTTTGAAACATGTTCTATCAGTATACAGGTATACCTATAATGTTATTGTTCACAAGAAGGACAATGCTATACCTCTATCATCAGTATTGCACTATCTGTGCCAGCTAGCAAGAGGTCCAATTCAGAGTGTTCCATCTCCTTGGTAGTAGGATTTACTATATACTTATCACCAACAAGACCAACACGAACCCCAGCAATTGCTTTTGACATTGGCACTTCTGAAAGTGCACTGCAAATTAAATTATTAAGATTAATAGCCTTAAATGTGAGTTTAGACACACTTACAACCCTACAAACATTTGTTTCTAGAACAAGGGTTGTCCTCACCTATATATTATAATTTAACAATAACTATAATCGATGCGAGATCTCCAACAAATAGTTATGAAGAGTGCTAGTGAATATGTTTAGATAGCATAATGCATGTGACAAAAATATCTCAGGACTACTTACATGCATACTTGCCTTATTTTTACATCTATTGGATTATCCCATCATCTCATCCTCCTTTCTTTAATTTACTTCCCATTTCATTGAATTATTATCAGTATTATGTATTGGCAAACAAAAATTAGAGCAAGGTAAGTTTTTTAATAATTTATAGAAAAAAAAAAAAAAGCATTTTGCATGGGATCTCAAGTCCTTCAGTTTCCAGAAAACAGAATAACCAACTTACACTGCTATACCAGCTGCAGTGACAGCCAAAGAATCAGGGGAGTGCAGTCCGTCATAGCTCAAAACCTAAAATCATCAATTTATAGTAAGACAAAAAGCATGTTAAATTACTACAAGGTACAGTCATTTTAATACACCAAATAAAAATGAGCAACAGCATGATAAATACATAATTTCATTACAGCAGAGTACTGAAATAAACATCATTATGTTCTTAACTGACAAAGAACAAAGCATAGGGTGATGACGTCCTGCTTAGCACTGCTATTGCTAAAGCAAAGGGTGACTAAAATGATCACCACAAGCATGGTTTTAAAGGTTTAATAAAATTATGATAGGTTTGGGGCTTCAAACAAAGCCAAGGAGACCACACACTGTTTGTTAAAGACACTGGGTCAGGTAAAGTAACAATGTTACTTGTGTTCATGTGCGTGGATGATATTATAATGTTAGGTGATGATGAAGAGGAGCAACAACTTTTAAGCCAACATCTAGCCAAGGAGTTTGAAATCATGACCAAGGTAAAATTGGAGTACTTTTTTGGGGATTGGTGAAGCCCACTCTAAAGAGGATATTTTCATATCCCAAAAGAAATACATTATTGATTTGAAGCCATCAATGCAATTTCCTTAAAAAACAAAAAATCTGATGCATACTTCTTTTGAGATATAAGAATACCGTCATTGGATTGTGCGACATCAATACCCAATAAACATCTGAGTTTACCAAGATCTTCGATTTGAAAATGGAGGCAAAGGTGTTGTTTCACTTAAGAGATGTCATGGTAGTCACTGTCTGTAAGAACAATGTCATCAACATATACTATCAAATAGACACATCAAGCACTTGAGTGATAGTAAAAAATTGGATGATTTACCTCACTCCGAGTCATACCAAATTGTTGAACAACACAACTAAATTTTCCAAACTAGACCCTATGATACTATTTTAGGCCATATAAACATTTGCGAAGATGACATACCAATCCAAAAGACTCCCCTTGAGCAACAAATCCAAGTTACTTCATATAAATTTCTTCCTGCAAATCTCCATTGAGGAAAACATTTTTGACATCGAGTTGATAAAGAAGCCATTATTGAAGAGTAGCCATGGCTAGAAATAAACAAACAAAAGCCATCTTAGACACTAAAGACAAAGTATCACCATAATCCAATCAAAAAATTTGTGTGACCTTTGGCCACAAGTCAAACTTTGAGGCGATCAATAGTACCATCAAGACCAACTTTGATAGCAAAAATCCACCTACAGCCAACAACAAATTTCCCAGATAGTAATGGAATGAGCTCCCAAGTTCCATTTTTCTGAAGAGCACTTAGTTCATCTAGCAAGCCTTGATGCCAACCAGAATGAGCTAAGGCATCACTAAGACTTAGGAATGGACACAGAAGAAATAAATGAAAGGATTACGAGTACAACATATACCTTTGCGAAAGGAAATTGAAAGGTCAGACTCAGTTGTTAGGGCAAGAGGAGAAAAAAAAGTGGACAATTAAAGTCAGTTACTTGGTGGTTGTTGGGAATTATGTCTTTGACTATAAACCTGAAGTTGGGGTGAAGAGGAGAATTTGACAGTGGATTAGGCACAACTAGAGGTTCACAAACAATAGGAATTAATTGTAGTAGACAAAGACACATCAAAAGACGAAGAAGGACCCTTGAAGTAAAAAGAAGACTCATTGAAGGTGACATCTACAAAAATAAATTAGCGGTTAAAAGAAGGAGAAAAATACTTATGTCCTTTTTGTGATCGAGTAAATCCTAAAAAAACATAATTGTGTTAGGAGATAACTTATCAAAACAAAGACTAAAATTATGAACAAAACATGTAAGGTGGGCTAAGGCATCACTTGAGATAACTTGAGGTGTGTTGAGAAGTAAACTTTAAGCCGAACTCAACCCCACAAACTGACTTGTAAGGTGAGGTTTGCACCCACTTATATATTGTGAATTGGCTTTATCTCTAATCGATATGGGACTTCCAACACACCCCTCTCACGCTGAAATATATACATTTCATGCATGAAACTAGATATTAATGGGTGGTCCAATAAGAGTCTGATACCATGTTGGGTAGAATAATAGACCCAAAAAAAAAACTTTTACTAGGATAGACTCTAATCTATGGCTTTGATATCATGTTGACTATAGTAAAATTAACATAATGAACATAGGGATTATGTTTCGTAATTAACATAAAACACTATATCTAACCGCGATCATATTACAACAGTGTTGTTGTTATTATATTTCCTTAATTAGTCTTCCAATCTTGTGTGTGTGTGTGTATATATATATATATATATATATATATATATATATATATATATATATATATATATATATATATATATATATATATTCTTAGAACCAAAATCATTTTATTCTACCCTAATATTTGAGAATTATCAATGATGGGTAAACAAACAAAAAAAGACAATTAATTAGTAACTTTTTGGTAAACAATCCTGAAGAGATTGTATTTCTTCAGTCATTAGATACTTCAATATCTAAAAAACAACAAAAAAAGTTTTTAAGATGTTGGTGATGTTGCAAAATTGGATGGAGAGAAAAATGTAGTGCAAGTGATTACTAATAATAATGCTGCAAATTTCAAAGGGTGCCTAGAGATTTTGGACCCCATGTGTTGGCTATTGCATTTATTTGATCTTTAAAGATTTTGTGAAGCATTTGTAGGTCCATCAAGTAAAGAAGAAGGACCACCAACTTCAATTCCAACCTATGGCACATGGGGTGTGTAAATTGTTATGGCTATGAATCATTCTAAATGATCTTAAAATGGCAGGTAAAGAGTCTATGATTCTTTATTGTGATAATAAATCAGCTATTAGCATTTGCTCACAATCCAATTCAACATGATAGGACCAAGCACATAGGGATAGATTGACACTTTATTAAAGAGAAACTAGATAGTGGTAGTTGAGAATAAAAAGAGAATATAAAATTGGAGGGCATAAAAAATCCCTCTTGTGATCTTCTATTTATAATCATAGATATAGTGGAAAATGAAACATCAAAAGACTAACCTAGATTCCTAGGTACAACTCATAGAGTGCACTAGACTTCTAGGTACAAGACTAGGTACTAAAAATGATTACAACAAATAAATGGTTCACAATGCACTACTTATTACATATTTCAGCAGCGGGCTTATCACTACTTATTTTCCATTTGGGCTTCAGTTAGCAAATTTGTTAACAAAAGATCTTCCTACTTAATGATTTCATGATCTCACATGCAAGCTGGGAATGATTGATATCCATTCACCAACCTGAGAGGGATTGTTGTTGTAGGATATTAAGTGAACTACTAGAAGGTGATAGTAGACTCTGTTAGAAGTTCTTAGAAGATTCTAGATATCTCTTTGTAATCTGATAGGATATAAGGTAATAGATAATGTTAGGGGTTGGAAGGTATACGAGAGAAGAAGAAAGTATAGGAGAGAAGAAGAAGGGCACTGAACGGTGGAAGGCGGGGAGAGGTCGAGCCGAATGGTGGAAGGCGGTGAGGGAGAAGAAGAAGGGTACCGAACAATGGAAGGCGGGGAGAGGTTGAGCCGAACGGTTGAAGGCGGTGAGGGCTCGAGCCGAACGGTGGAAAGAGGTAAAGAACTAGAGTCGATCAGTTGAAGAGTTACTATCCTAACTATTGTAGCAGTTAGGATGGGCGGGAAGTATTTATAGTAAATAGAGCTATATTATAGGGAAATATTCAGTATAAGATATTTATAGTAAATAGAGCTATATTATAGGAAAATATTCAGTATAAGATATTTATAGTAAATAGAGTTATATTCTAGGGAAATATTCAGTATAAGATGGGCGGAAAATATTTAATATAAATAGAGCTAGATTCTATTGTTAGGTTAAGCTTTTGATTATTGAGTTTGTTAACAGGCGGCTACACTCCTGTTTAGAGAATTCTATTACCATTAATAAGAGAAATTCTATTACCATTAATAAGAGAAATTCATTCTTTCATTATCTTTTTTGCCTACTGTGATCTTGGTTAATTAGGTTTCCTACTCAGAAACCTAACATAATCACTACTTAAGGGTTAGAGTTTTGTATATTTAGAGGCTTATGTATTGCTTCAAAATTAATCAATTGAATAAAATCCTCTCTCATTCAGATTAATCCTTTTCAAGTGGGTGATTGGCATGATGAAGCCATTGTAGTTGAACCAAAAAGAAAAAAACAATACAGGTTTCGATGGAAGTTGCAGGTCAGCAAGGAATTGCTGCTGGAAGCGCTACTAGGAACGTAATCAATATCATTGTTAGAAACATTTTGAATGTTGAAAGAAAAACACGGGAAGTTGTGAGGTAAAATGGGAGGAGGGCTGTTTTCCTAAAGACAGGGAATGAAAATAGTGGATTATAGGTGAAAAGAGAAAGTTAACATTAATAAAAAAAACAAATACCATTTTCAGGGCTGGAATTGAGTCCCTCACGTTAAACATAAATCGCAGCAAAGACCTAGAAAAGACAATCTCTTGTGATTTTCGTCATGCAACAACTGCAACCCCAAGGTGCAATGTGATGCAACCCACCTCCTTTGGATGTGCTGCATTGGTGCAAATGCACACAATTAACTACTCTGATTGGGCTGTTTTTCTTTTTTGGTGTTTTAGCTTCACGCATTGTAAAAAAAATGTCTTTTATATTTGGATTGTTAACTTGTAACTTCAGCTCAAGTGTGTTTGTGACTCAAGCAAGAGGAGCATTCGACCTACTAATGCATCTTCAAAAGATTATGGATCCAAAGATGAAGAATTTCATTATCTATTGTAATCCCATGGTTTGCATAATTTTCCTTATTTTCCAATCCTAAGTAGGATCTCAATTTTCACAACTAACAATTATTGATAATTTATCCAAATATATAAATTGATTCAATTTGAAGAGAAAATTAACTTCCTCAACGTGACATTTTTCTTGAAATTTAATAATTGGTCCATAGATATCTATCCCCAAGTCCATAAATTTGGACCATCAGCACACAAAACAAAGGTAGCATGTGAACCATTTGAAGTAGACACTAGCAATAAAATTTTAAGAAGTGAAATTATAAGGACTATACCCAAGACAATATTTGAGTTTCGTGATAGAATCCCTTTGGCATGGTAGGACGTAGAGGCCTATCAATTAATCTACAAATAAGAACCTGCGAGCAACATATGGCAATGAAAAGTTAATGTCAGGAATTAAAAAGAAAACCTTTTACAGATAACAAAACATTTATATAAATAAGATGTCATCTTCTCTACAAAATATATTGTAGCAGAAAGCTAATCCAAATTGTAAATAATACATACAACCCAAAATTAAGTCAAGTTGAATCAGTCCAAAATGCTTAGAAACTTCCCAACCACCAACTCATAGTACATAATGATAGAACTGGTTAAATCTATGCAAAGATTTCTGTAACAAGAGCAAATCTAGTGATGATCATCTACAGCAAAACATTCCCAAACAAAGATAAAAGATGAAATAAAGAGTATAAGATCAGTAGGTGTTTGAGCCTCCCAACAACTTATACACTAATTAACTCACCCCCCCCACCCCCCCCTCCCCCTTTTTCCTTCAATTTTCCTATTTGTTAGTTTTATGGACTCTAGTCTTGCACTACTTTAGAATACTCTCAAATTTGGCTTCTCTACCATCATGTATGACGTCCATCTTTTTATGTTCTATGGTTTATGTTTCCTTTTTCATTCTCTCAAATCTTAGTTGAATCGTTCAATTGTGATGTATGTCAATTTGCAAAGCACCATCATATATCCTCCTAGTACAAAATGCTTACATCCTTTTTTGGTTTGGTCCATTCCAATGCTTGGGTGCCTTGCCATTTTTGGGGGCATGTTTACAATATGTTATCTCATTAACTGGATATCATCATTTGTATGTAATAATGGGGTACCCCACTCTATTTCTCTCCTCTTAACCGTTATTTTGTTTTGGTTGATGTCACATTCAATGAGTCTTCTCTTTACTTTAAATCTTCTTCATGTGTGTCTCTCTCTACTACGGTTAATATTCCTGTAATTTGTGATCCTCCTGTTATGTCTAGTCTACCTCCGACTTCTCCACCTCCACCAACCCTTCATGTGTATAGTCGACAACCGCGTACTCGTCATTCACCAAATGACACACTTCTAGTGCCCAATCATCCATCTCCTCCGGCTTTGACAACTGGGTTTGAACTTCCAATTGAACTTCGTAAAGATATACACTCTACTCGTAATCTATCTCCTCATTAAACTACTTTGAGTTACAATAGATTATCTCCATTGTTTTATACCTGCCTTTCGTCTAGTTCTACCCAAAATTTGTAGGTGATGCCTTAGCCCATCCTGGTTGGCATCAGGTCATTCTTGGGAGCTCGTCCCATTACCTTCTGGGAAATCTATTGTTGGTTATAGGTGGATCTCTACTATCAAAATTGTTCTTGATGGTACTATTGACCGTCTCAAAGCTCGTCTTGTGGCCAAAGGTTATAAATTTTTGTTTGGGCTAATGGTGATACTTTTTCTCTAGTGGCAAAGATGGCTTTTGTTTTCTTATATAGAGCTACTCTTCAACAATGACCTCTTTACCAAGAGGATGTCAAAAATGCTTTTCTTTAAAGAGATTTGCACGAAGAAATTTATATAGAGCAACCTCCTGGTTTTATTGCTCAGGAGGAGTCTTCTGGATTAGTATGTCGTCTCCACAAATTTTTATATGGCCTGATGAAACAACACATTTGTCACCACTTTCAAACCAAAGATCTTGGCAAACTCAGATATTTCTTGCGGATTGAGATAGCACAATCTAACAATGGTATTGTTATATCTAAAAGAAAATATGCATTGAATATTTTGGGGGAAACTAGGTTGATGAACTCAAAATCTATTGACACACCCATGGATCCCAATATCAAACTACTACCTAATCAGGGAAGCCTTTCTCCGATCTTAAAGAACTACAAACAATTAGTTGGAAAATTAAACTATCTTATTATTACTCATCTTAACATTTCCTTTGCAGCCAGTGGTGTGGTGAGTCAATTTCTCAATTCCCCATATGAAGATCATTGGGAGGCAATTATCCATATATTAAAGTACATTAAAGGATCTACGGGAAAAGGTTTGGTATATAGTCACAATAATAATACTTAAGTTGTCTGCTATTCAGATGTTGACTGGGTAGAGTCTCCTTCTGATAGAAGATCTATTGTCAAATACTTTGTTTCGATTGGAGGTAACTTGATTCTTTGGAAGAGTAAGAAACAAAGTGTTGTCGCATGATCTAGTGCAGAAGCAGAATATAAAGTTATGGCCTCAGCCACTTGCGAACTTGTCTGTCTTAAACAATTACTTAAAGAATTGCAATTTTGAGATGTCACTCAAATGAAACTTATATGTGACAATCAAGTTGCTCTTCATATTAGCTCTTACCCTATCTTTCATGAAAGGAACAAACACATTAAGATTGACTGCATTTTATTTAAGAAAAGATTGAATTTAGAAACATCAAGATTAAGTTTGTTAACTCAAATGATCCGTTGGCAAATATTTTCACTAAGTTTTTACGGAGACCTAGAATTGATTATATTTGTAACATGTTTGATACATATGATCTATATGTACCCATTTGAGGGGAAGTGTTAGATATTGTTAAGATAATGTTAGTTACAATATCTTATGTTAGTTACAATATTATGTATATGGGCTTTAGCCCATATTTTCCTTATTATTGTTCATTATAAATAGATTATCCTACGTGTATTTCCTAGAAATTACTCTTATTCACTACTTTCAACACTTAGTACTTATTTTTATCTAAAAAGAAGAGTAATGGGTCCTCCTAAGGAAAAAAAGTATAATAACACAGAGGAGGGGAGCAGACTACTCTGCAATATTCCAGTCTCTCCACATTTCACTATTATTGTTGATTGGAAACTATAACGCAAGTGTTGATCATAATTGTGAGCATAGGACTCTGTCTGACATGTATTAGGTTTGTTAGTGATGTTTCAGTTAGACAGTAGCTTTTTGTTACAGCAGCAGTATTGTTAGCAAGTGTAACTGATAGGTTCCTAAATTGGGAACCTAATCAAGAACTCCCTCACAGTCTCTCACACCCAGAAAACAGAGAGAAATATATGGTGAATTGTGTATTATTAACAGAAAGAATAGTGTGTATACAAGATCCAGAGGCATAACCCTCTTCACATGTCAATGGCCTGTTAACAAACAACGTACTCAAAAACTGCCTTCTAACTATCCAAACAATCTATTTATACAATTCCCCTACCTTCTATCCTAATCTCATTTCCCATTATACCCTTATATCCCAAATACCCTATATCCTAACATTACACCCCGTTGCATAACAACCTTGTCCTCAAGGTTGGAATGGGGAAGCTTGGTCTCATGGCTCCTCTTCCTCATTGGGGTTACCATATGAAGGAAACCCACTGGCTTTGCCCTTCAATTCAAGTCAGGGGGCTTGGGCGGTGGCAAATTTTCCTCTTCTTCTTCGGCCAAGATCAGCATTCGCAATCCCTGCTCTAGGCATCGATGACCTGGGCTGAAAGGCCCTCCGCACCGGAAGCATCTTCCCTCTTCTCTCTTTTTCACGTACTCCGAATATGGTAGGTTGCGGGTATTCCTTTCCCTCCAGTCGCCAGTGGTTCTTGCGGCGCCGCCTACGGGGGTCGCCTCTTTCTTCACGGAACCGAAACTTTCCGCGGCCCCTCCTTGACTCTGCGTATCGCGTTGGAACTCTACTCGCGCCACCACCCCCATCGTTCGTCCCCACGAACTCTGGTTATTGGGCGCCGATCCCCCTCCCGGCTTTGTATGCGCACCTAATTTCTCCACATCACGCGCTACTCGCATGGCTGTCATCAAGTCTTGGGGATCATGCGGCCTGACATGGTCGCCCACCTCTTCCGGGAGTCCCGCCATGACGTAGCCCAGAATCTGTTCCTCTAGAATTTTGGTGGTCTGCCCCACCAACACTTCGAACTCTCTTGCGTATTCCTCCACCGTCCCGACCTGCTTAATGGCCGATAGCCTCTCATACACCGTTCTTGACGTTCCTCCCCCGAACCTAATCCCAAAGCTCTCTTCAACCCTTCCCAAGAATGGTTCTTGGTTTTCTCTCTTCAGAATCGAAACCAACTCCCAGCATACCCCTCCATACTAATCAAAGCCAGTTGTAATTTCTCGTCTTCGTCCACTCTCTGCACCTCGAAGAACTTTTCCGCCCTACTGACCCAGTTCCACATTTCGCCATCTTCGAACACGGGTAACTCCACCCGTTTTCTCCAATTAATATGTCTGTCATGTCGCCCTTCTCCTCATCTTCCTCTCTCCCCCTCCGGTCCGCCCTCGCTCTCGTTCACAGAGGATTGACTTCCCTCTCGGCGTGGCCCGTGTGGGTCGCGATTGCGATCCCCTAACATCTTTAGGATCGCTTGGATATCTTGGCGCATTGCTTCGTAATTCTGCCTCAATGTCCTGGTTTCATGCCGCAAGAACATTGTATCAGTCTTCGTCTCGGCTATTGCAATCTCTACCGCCTCCATCTGCCCTTCTACTGCCGCCACTCTTCCGTCCATCATGCGCGGCTTCACCTCTCCGAATTGGGATCCGGCACGTCAGACCAATTGATAGGTTCCTGAATTGGGAACCTAATCAAGAACTCCCTCACAGTCTCTCACACCCAGAAAGCAGAGAGAAATATATGGTGAATTGTGTATTATTAACAGAAAAAATAGTGTGTGTATAGAAGATCCAGAGGCATAACCCTCTTCACAGGTCAATGGCCTGTTAACAAACAATGTACTCAAAAACTGCCTTCTAACTATCCAAACAATCTATTTATACAATTCCTCTACATTCTATCCTAATCCCATTTCCCATTATACCCTTATATCCCAAATACCCTATATCCTAACAATAATTGTTCTATTAGTCAGTTATAGCTAACTTGTAACTAAGCTATGTATATTATGTTAACAAAGTCTCATTCATCTTGTATCTTCCAACCTTTCCATAATAACAAATCAGAGTATCAGTTTTCTATCAATAACTGACCGTGTAAGTAAAAGTGAATCTCAAAACCAAAGAGGAAAGCAAATCGCCGATACAAGTCACAAAGTGTTGAGATTTAAGATGGGTGCCCAGAATAAAAGATCATGTGTAACATTACTGTAAAGCCAGAGTTAATGACTAGAAAAGTAGTACCTCATGGTCTCTGGTCTTTCCTTCTCGCTTGAAAAACCCTCCACTGAAACAATTGTAAATCGAAGAATTATACAACTAAATAAAAAGAATCATGCAATAAGTAAAAAGAAATCTAGAAAATGTATATGACATACCTAGTACGACCAGCTGCTGAAAATCGCTCTTGATAATGAACAGAAAGGGGGAAAAAGTCAGATGGTTCACTAGGAACATCATCCAAGCAAACAGTTGTGTACACGATCTGCAATATGAAAAACAGCAGCTTGAATTTTCAAAAGAATAAATGCTGAATTCCTCATGAACAAGTTAATGATTGTTTCCATCCTAAAACAATGTAAAATAAATAAAATATAAGTGTTAACAAAAAGTCTGGTAAGTGTCAATGTTGAATTATGAGTATCATCGCATCATCATAAGAATTATTTTCCAATTTCTATATTCTCCAACTCATTACATGATATTAATTTATTTATTCAATGTTCGAATCCAGGCTAAATATTCCACAGGCAAATATTAGTATATGGGCATTAACACTTACTAACTTCTCAATAACATCAATAGTTTTTCCTTTTATAGCAAAAAAAACAGTACATTATTTACTCAAGCCAGCTAACAATATATTTGCAGAATGTACATAACAAATTTTGAACCATATTTGCAGAAGGTATATAGAAAAACTAACCATATTTTGAACCCACAAGAAAAATTTTCTACAATTGCCTTCTTTGTAAAAGATGAAATACTTTGGACGTGTAAACTAGTAAAGCTGAACACTTAAAATTTAAAGTTCAAACTTGGCTTGGAAATGTCATGCTCAAGCTTGACTCAATTATTTATACAAGCCAAATTTAAAGCTTGGACTTGACTAGCGGAAAAATATGAAGCTTCAGCTCCTTATAGGTCATTTAAAGTTTGATAATATTTTCCTATTATCAAATAGATTCTTAATGAGTTTACGAAATCTATTGATTCAGTAATTAATAGGAGAGGTTCCATTATGGAAGTTGGGCCAACAAATGTGGTACAAATTGTAATGGATAACACAGATGTTTGTGAGGCAACATATATGTTCATGGAGTTAGAATTTTCTTCAATCTATTGGACTCTTTGTTTTGTACACACCTTAAATCTTGCATTGAAAAATATTTTTGCTGCAAAAAACACTGAGAAATAATGATGCTAACCAACAATGCTCTTGGATCCCATAAATTGCAAATGATGCTACCTATACTAAAAATTTAATTTGTGGGGCACTCTGAGATAATCAATGTTCAATAATTCAACTCATTCAAGTTGTTTGTTGTTGCTCCAACTTGATTTGCTTCAACCTAGTCATGCTCAAGAGGTCTAGTTTGAAAAAATGATTTCAAGAAATGGTTATTAGTGATGAATGGTCGTCTTACAAAGAGAACAATGTGGATAGAGCACAATTTCTGAAAGAAAGTGTCTTGGTTGATGATTGATAGACAAAGGTTGATTATACACTTACTTTCACTTTCCCTATCTATGATGTTCTCAAGAAAACAAATATGAATATACTTTCCCCTCACTTGGTATATGAAATGTGGGATTCAATAATTAAAAATGTGAGAAAGGTCAGATACTAACATGAAAGAAAGAAAAAATTTGAGCATTCATCCGTTTATGAGGTATTAAACAACTTAATATTAAAACAGAGAAAATATATTTTTGGAGGGCTTACTGATGTTCTATTTATAATGAAGGAGAGTTGATACATTGGGAAACTGAAAGATCAAAAGATTGTCGTAGACTGCTAGGCACAAAACTAGGTACAGTTGGAAGAGGTTCCCAACACACTACTCCTTACATTAGACCTAATGATGATTACACTAGCTTAAATAGATTTAATAATTATTCCAACAAAACTCAATATTAATTGATTGTTAAACTAAGAGTAGCACATCTCTTCATTGAGGTAATACATTATATTCTTAAATTAATTTTATGATTATATTTTGCTAAGTACATTTTAACTTATAATATTATAAATTTATAACATTATTGTTGGAGACCTCACAACGACCAAAGAATGTGGGTGTGTCTGGGAGGTGGGGAGGGAGGAGTACAAACATTACCTTACAAGCTGGTTTTGTAAGGTTGAGTTAGGCATAAACTCATTTCCTAACATAGTATCAAGTCATTCAAAGTCTATCCTAGTGAAATTTGTTGGACCTATCATTATTATCTAATCCCATGTTCGAGATGTTCATTCCTTAGCATCCTATTGGGTTATTGCTTCGTACGCCTCGTCATTGTACCTGCACCCCACAAATTTTGAAATTCCAGCTCTTTTCACTTAGTCTTTTGTTGGGTTATCAGCCAAATTATCATTTTCTTAAAAGTTGGGCCATACCTGACCCAATAAAAACATTACAATTTAATCCAATACCCTATCTACATTACAACAATCTCTTGTTCTTTGTTATTACTGTCACTTGCTGCCGTCGGTGCTACTATTTGCCACCGCTAGCCGATGATGACACTGCTGCTTACCATCGCCACTCACCACCATTGGCGATCCCACTCTAGCCGCCACTAACACTATTACCGTTATATTTTTGTTTTTTTTTATTATTATCTATATGCATATATCATATTTCTTTTAACCGCAATGCTTTCTCCATAACCTTTTATGATTTCTCTTATAATTTCATAAAGGAATTTTGGGTCTCCGATATTTTCCGTTATCCAATACCAATAACACTGATATCAAGCAATGGAACGTACTCACGAAAGGAAGAAGTGTTTTAAAAGGTACTTTGATGATGTGCACGTAAGGAAACTGGTTATAAGATTTGAAACTTCCCAAATGGAAGGGAAGGTTTTGCCAATGTAGACTATTTAAGAGACAAAGGTGAAATGGATTCAAAATCATGGTGGATTATTCATTGAACTCATTCACCAATTGAGATCTTGTTGCTAAAGAAATTGGAGTACTTACTCATTTATACATTCCTTGAAAAGAAATAAGATAACACCTCAAAATGCAGAAGATCTAGTATTTGTTCATAGAAACCTTCTTCTTCCCTCCAGAAATTCCTCAACGTACAATCACGAGACAATTAAATTGGGGGATATTGTAGAAGATGACTTCATTTGGATGATAATGGAATTTTTAAGAATGCTAGCTTATCTATTGATGAACCAAACTTAGAAGTTGTGTTTCTAAACGAGGATCACCAAAAATGATAGATTGCATAAATTCTTCTCCTGTAGAACTTTTCTATCTTGATTTCTTAGATTATTAAGTATGGTTAACACATTTTAATAGACTTATAATCCTATACATACATATATAGTACTTATGATTAAAAACAGAGAGAAAATATATGTTTAGAGGGCTTGAAGGTCCCTTCTCATGTTCTTCTATTTATATTGATAAAGAGTCGATACAATAGGGAGATGAAAGATCAAGGGACTGTCCTAGACTGTTAGGTACAAAACTAGGTAAAGTAAGTAGAGATAACCCAACACACTACTCCCTACTTTAATCCCACTGACTACACTAACATAAGTAGACTCAATAATTATTCCAACAATAGTCTTGTGTCCTATATTTTTTTAGTTTATTTGTATCTTTGTATCCATGACTATGTCTGAGCTTCATAGGCCATGACCACCCTCAAAATACAAGTAGCTTCACCCTTGTTCATGAGCTTTTAATATCAAGCTTCAGTTTAACTCAATAGTTGAGCTTAAAGTCAAGCTTGAGCTTGTTTGTTTATTAAGACAAACAAACTTGATTGAGAACATAATGATCAATTTTCTTTTCTTTTAGCAAAATTGAGAGCATAATGCACCCTAAGATATGATAACATTTAGCAATCAATTTCTTTTCTTTTAACACAGTTTTTATCCACATGTTCATGTTCACAATCATGGATAAACTAATTACTAGAAGAAATATGGGAACTTACAGTCTCTCCATCTGTAACTGTAACAGAGCCACTTGCCTGTCTTCCCATATGACCAGTCTCAACCAAAATCTGTAGAATGCCACAACACCTAATATGTAAATCAAACTAGTACTAGATGCACCATTCTACTCTATAAAGATAATTTAGGATATTGCAACAACACCCGAAAAACAACCATAATGCAACATAAAAAATATAACGAAGATGTCATTTATCTAAAAAAAACAAAAAACTACGCATTCATGGACATAAAACCTTGCAAAGAAATGAAAACAATATGAGAGCCACAAAAAGGCATAATCGCTTCCATAGACCATGTGTGCTTATTGCTACAGTCACCAGGTTGATAACTAAAAAGTAGGGGTGAGTCACATGATATTCAACAAACCCTCCAAACATTCCACTATTTTTTTTTACTTTTCTTTCACTAATTCTCTTGAAAGAAACTGAAATCATATAAGCTTAAATCATTTAAAAAAAAAAAAAAAGGAATTGATTCACTACTTTTTTGCAATTTATTCATTCAATGCATTCACTGTTTGGTTGTTCCATTGCTTCATTTCCACTCATCCAAAATAAAGGCTTCACAAACTCAACTATAACTAATAATATAGTTTCACAAGAATTATGGTTTAGTTGTGTTATTTGTTTAAATTGAACAGTACAATATTATAGTTTTGAAGTTTTTTTTCATTGTTTCTAAATCTTACATTTGATACAGATTATGATTCATGACTCAAAAAATTAGCTAGACAATTAAGAGCATAAATATGGATTTGATAACTTTGAATCATACCTAAACAACATTAAAATGGCAATAAATCACTTACAGGAAAAGATGCATCCCTTCCTAACTATGAAGTATATTGATAATCTTTCAAAGAGATAGAAGAAGGAAGCATAAATAATTTTACGCAGTGTTTGCCCAGCTGGCTTTGGACTTCTCTTCTCCTTGAAAGAAGAAGCATGGTCAAACATGTTTTTTAAAATGCTGTTAACAAATTAAGTAACTTAACTTTTACAAAAGAAAAGTAAAAGTATCCTCTAATAAAATATAAGGTAGGTGAAGAGGCTTCAAAAAAATTGGCAACGCTTTAAGCTGAAAGAAATTTAAACTTATAAATATTTCTACTTTATTTTAATACACGCACATATATATACATATCAACACACATATAGATAGACAGAGATGATAATAGGTATTTTGTGTGGAAATGTCTTCACCAATTAGTACCCGAAGATTCCTCCCTTTATTTACCTGACTACAAATATATCCAAAATTTAAATCATGTACATCACTATGCTATGAGAAACATCATCAAATTTCAGTCAACAGTTAAAGTAAAACCACTCTCTTACAAGACCAAACAATCAAATTTCAATCAGTCAATTACATTTGAATAATCGAATAGAATATAAACCTTCAAGTCCACAACCCAATCCCCAACCAAAACAAGCCAAACACGTCTACTCAAGGCAAAAACAGAAAGAAATTCACGCAACCACACTGACATGTCTATCACCAACGGGAATCTTCACGGAATACGGTTGCAGTACGCCACTGTCGCCTACGACGGACTCCGACACCTCCGGCGAGTCCGCGGATGCTCTGAAGGCGGAGCGACAGCTACTCCTGCCGCAATGAAGCGAGCGGAAGTTGCATTTGCGGGAAGCGGCGAGGCGATGGGAAGGAGGGAAGAAGAGAGAATTGGAGAGGAGAAAGTGAGATGGTTGGGAATGGCGTTGCAGCGTGGCGAGGCCATGGAGGGAGCTGCTAGGACATGCTAGCATCGTCTTATTACTACTATTATTAGTATGGGTTTTGGACTGTGGAACGAGGTGCAGGTGTTGCTTCTCAGAGGAAGAGAGTGGTGAGAGTGAGAAAGGGACAGAGAGTGATAGACAGAGGAAAGGGAGAGAAGGAAAAGAGCTGCCGTTATCCGCTTCTGCTATTTGGTTCAGAGGCGCGCTCAGGTTATGGGCTTTGTCATTCCGTTTTGGGTTGATACTTCCTGCACCGTTTGTATTTGTTCCTACACCTCTCTCAACTCCCAAAAACATTTCTAGTTCACAATCACTCAAATCAAATATAAAAATTATATGCAATTAAGTTTTAATTTAGTATAAAATCTAAATAGAAATACTGATGGTGATAGTTATTCTAAAATTTGTAAACACTTTTTACAAAATATATTATAAATACTACTGAAAAGACATGTACGTCTATTTATTTTTTATAATAAAATTATAATTATAAAAATAAATATAAATAATTTGTATATTTACTTTTATTTATTTTGTGAATAAATTTTATTTATTTAGTAGATTATTTTTTATTTAATTTTGAGATATAATTTAATTTAAAAAATATTAAATTTAAGAAATCAATTAAATTTAAATAAAACTGAAAATTTGACAGATAAAAATGAGGAAAAAAAATGCAAACAACAAAATATGTCTATCAGTTCATTCCTAATTTTAGGTAATAAAATGTCTACCGTTCATTTGTCTTTGTTTGAAGAGTTGTCAAGAAAGGGTGGCAGAGGGTTTGCTAGCGATGACTCACGGTCTTTGTCTTCGAGCTTTGTGTCTTCTTTGATCTTTGAGATAATCGAGCAGGATAGCGACTCGGCTGGCAATTCGATCGGTGTATACAGTGATAGAACCTTTTCTAACATAACAATCGATCGTCATTATGAAAGAGTGGAGACTGGTTGGTAGAGTGAAGGGGATGAGTTCCAACATACCTTGTCGGTGAGCCCGGGTTATAATTGAGTGTTTCGTGAAGTGGGTGAATATAACACCTACTTTCGCTTGAAGAAAGACCTGGAGAAGTGGGTTGAATGAGTCTGTGCAAAATGTGGAGGAAGTCGCTCTTATTAAGTTGGTAGCCGAGCGGGTATATCATGGGAAAGGAGATAGTGTTGAAGATTTTCTCTTCGTGTATACCTATCTCTTCGCCCAGATGTTTGTTCGAGTTCCCTTTACCAACTTCTGAGCGTCGGTGTTGAGGAAATTAAATGTGGCTCCCACCTAGTTATATCCAAACAGTTGGGTATGTATGCAAGCGTTCACAGTGATCTGCTTCGCCCTCGACTTAACTCCCACTCCTACCATTTTCCTCCATTATTTTTGTGTGCGACTGATCGCCAAGCAAGGTTGGGGGTCTTTGATCTCCATGGAGAATAAGTGGATGTTTAAGCCGTTCACAAACTCTTTCAAAGGATTTAAAATTAAGTATTTCAAAATCGTAATAAAAGAGACTGGTCGCTCGGAGTTTTTTTTATGATGTCGGGCATCCAAAGTTCCTTTTTTATTGGACAAAGAACCCCCGGAATGTGACCTTTTGGTCACCAAAACCACTTTGAAATACCCAATTTTCACATCAACCTTTGTTTAAGTTGCAACGTATGTGAAAAAGTTACACCTCATTCACTAATTACTCATGTGAACATTGTATCATTAAGGATTTAGACATTGTCATGGAAAATGACTAAATTGAACAAAAATTACAAAAATTGAGACCACTTTGAACGGCCGAAAAAGTTGAGTCCTACTTTAAACAAAGTTGACAAAAACTTAATGCAGCAAATCATATCTTCCTATAACTGAAAAAACTTAATGCAAAAAATCATAGCATAATATCAAGATATTGATTCTAATTATTATCAGAAATATTTTTTTTATCAAAATCATATCTTCCTCTAAAACAAGAGATTTTAAAATATTTTCTTGTGACATGTCTCATGAGGGATGTAAAAAGAATAAAGAGTGGAGGTGTTTATTTCAATTTTTTTATTTTTTATTTTTGAAAACAAATTCAATTACCTGAACGAAATTGGACATTAACAATTGTTGCCAACTGGAAATCACAATGTATTGTCACATACGATATTGGTTTCATTCCTGGTGGAATGTTTGCTGAGAAACTTTTCAACCACTTGATTTCACTACCAGTCATTTCAAGAGCAACAAACTTAAATTTCATTGTTGATCTTGCAATAATTATTTGTCAGGTTGATATTTGCACTACTACTGAGTGTGAATATATAATCTCTAGTGGATTTTTGTCTCATCTGAATCAAAGAACCAATTAACATCATTATACCCTTCTAGTACATTGGAAAATACACTACATTCAGTGATATAATCCATTGAATCTCTTAGGTATCTCATAAGTCTTGCAACTACATCCAAATATTCCTGATTAGGAATTGAGTGTACCTACTCAGTTTACCTATTGCATAAGTAATGTTTGGTTAAGAAAAATGCATTAAGTGCAATAAGCTCCCAATTAACTGGACATACTAAGGTTGAAAAATAAATTCTCCTATATTTTTCTTTAATTTAGAGTTAGCATCATAAGGGGTACTCACTAGTTTGAAATCATAATACCCAAACTTCCTAAGAAGTTTCTCAATGTATCGTTCTTGTGATAGTAACATACTATCTCCCTTAGTTATGATTCTAACACTTAAAATTGCATTGGATTTACCCATGTCTTTCATTTCAAATTTAAATCCTATAAACAATTCAGTCCTAGAAACTATGTCAATACATGCACCAAAGAATAATATGATGTTCGCATACCAACATATAATGACATATTCACCATTTTCATATTTATAGTACACATATTTATCAACATCATTAAGTGAAAAACCATCACAAAGGAACATATTATCATGTTTTGCATGCCATTGTTTTGGTGTTTGTTTCAACCCATACAAAAATTTTAAAAGTTTGCAAACTTTATATGCTTGACCAAGTACAACACACCTTTTAGGTTGAGTCATATAAATTTCCTCCTCTAATTCACCGGTTAGAAAAAAAAAAGTTCACATCCATATGATGTATCACTAGCTTATGAATAACTGTTAAAGCCAAAAAGTTCACATCAGATTTTTCTTCATGGGATTTCGAAATCCAATGAAAGATTTTTTTTATATTTTTTATCAGATTTCAAAATTCGATGAAAGATTTTTCAAAGACTTTATCGATTTTCAAAATCTAATGAAAATAATTAAAACCATTTATCGAATTTCGAAATCTAATGAAGAAAAAATCCTTTATCGAATTTCGAAAATTGATAAAAAAGTTTTTATATCAAATTTTAAAATTGAAGGAGAAATCCTTCGGATTTAGAAATCCTTCGGATTTAGAAATCCTTCGGATTTAGAAATCCGATGAAATAAAAGAAATGAGGTATAAAGCTTTTTGAATTACAAAAAGATAATTTTGAAATTTTAAAAAAATTTGGATGTAAAACTGTCATCGATAAACCCAACACCTTTTACTTGATATACATACCCAACCCAAATTTACATTATTATTTTTATTATTGACATACCAAAATGGTCCAATAAACATGAGATCTAAATATAGATTTGTATAAAATATTAATAATCCTGAAATATTTATGATATATAAACAAAATTCAATTTACAATAAACTAATTATTATATCTATTAATATTGTTATATCTTTAGTCTATCTTATTTATTGTTATACTAAAAAGCCTACAAAATCCAATAAATACTCTAATATTATTTACTCTATAATCTAACTCCATATTCATTCTTTACACACAAAATATTATTTACTGTCTTGAACGTGTAAAATTATGGTAAAAACACTTAAGTTTTTTTTAAAAGATATAGAAGTGAAACTAATTATTAGATTTTTAGAGTGATTGAACAATTTCTTAAACGAAACTTATATATATAAGTATTATCAGTTAGTCCATTGATTTGTTTTAAGCTTACAAAACCATAAATTTTCAAGATATTACACATTTATTGGTATATTATTAGCAAAGTATGAACTTTAAAGAATATATATATATATATATATATATATATATATATATATATAATAAATAAAAATATAAATTATATGTATTAGGAAGAGAAAATACCTGTAAGTTATTATGTACAAGTGAAAGACAAAAAACAACATTCATTAACTAAAGAAAGTTCAGAGTTAATAGAGTTAAACTTGTGTAAATGTATTTTCTGCTTATGTCATTACAATTTTGTTTTGCTCTCAACCACGTTATTATGTAAGTAAATAAAGATTGGTAACATACATCAATTATTGTATCAAATAATTTTAATCAATTTAACTATTGCGTTCTAAAAGTTATTAAATGATATAAAAGTTCTAATAAGTTATGATAAGTGTGTATTATAACAGAACTGACAAATTAAATCATTGTGATAATTAATCATTTAAATAACATATTATAATCATCAGCTTTGTTTCAACCATTTTGCTTAAAGCAATTTCAAGATAATAAAGTTTGCTTGAGTAAAATCAAAATACATTAGGGTGATATACATTTTTTAAATCTTTTTATCAGACAATTTTATTCTTTAATGATTTGTACCACTGTATAAGAGATATATTGTTTTTGAGTATTTTTATTGTTATTTTATATAAATAATTTTATCTTTTATATATACTGCACAATTTTTCTACTCGAATAAATATATATATATATATATGTGTGTGTGTGTGTAGAAATACATCTGCTGAGTTGAATTTATGTTTTTTTAATCCAAATAATACATTTTTTAAAAAGTGTATAATTTTATATATTTAAAAATTAATATATATATATATATATTATTTTATCATTTTTTATTTATATATTATTTATAATTAACAATAAATTATATTTATAGCAATATATATAAATAATTTTTATTTAATTTATATATTTTATATTCCCAATATTTTAATTATATTTATTACGATAATATATCTTTTATTCTGTATGTAATATTTTGTATTTTAGTTTATTCTTAATTTTATTTTAAAATAAAAACTGATAATAAATATTCATATATATTAAATAACTGAAAATACCATTATTAATTTTATATAAACTAAAAAAGTACACTCAGGCAAGCATGTGGTATTTTTCCACTGGTATCAAACTAAAAAAAAGAGTTGTTATCGTTATCATATATATATATATATATATATATATACTTTTAGATTTACACTTTTTAAAA